GAACGCTCCCCTTGCGGCTCAACCTGCGGTCAACCTCAAAGGATGTATACGTCAAAGGATTTGGAGGCTCTACAGAAAGCCCATAAGAGTGCACTAGCGTCCAAGGACATGGCTATTTAGGAGGTTGACGCTTGCAAGGAACAGATGACGAGGATGGGGGCTTCCACGTATCGACTGTCTGCGTGTAAGACCTCATTGAAGAAGAGCACGCTCAGGAATCCGAAGATGACCATGAATGCTGTCGAGGTCGAATATGATGACGACAAGGCGAACGAGGAACTAAAGAACTCCGTTATGGGTCGTTTTGCTGGCGAGGTGACAATTGAGTTGGAGGTTGTGATGTTGAACAAGTTTCGTGAGGAGAAGCACAAAGAATTGTGAGCGGGCAAGAAGGCGGATTTGGAAAAATGTTGTCAAGATGAAGGAATTTCGTATATAAATTTGGACCAGGCTAAGACAGATGTTGCAGAGATAAGAGCTCGACAAGACTACGATGTCTGACTACAAACACACAAAACCAAGGAAGATGAGAGAGAGATACACCAGGGTTATGCCACTTCATCTGAAGAAATTCAGGATGAGTGGGGAGGTGCTCTGAGTGCATCTTACCTATGAAGCTTGACATTGTTCTGTCGTGATTATCGTATGATCAGATTAATTATATCTTTCTCTTGGTTATTATTCTGTTTATTATTTCTGGAGAGATCAAATAGGGCGGTAAGTTCAGTTCTCTTCTTTGTTCCTTGTTAAATTCTAACTACGATTTCCTTTCCTGCTCTGGTCTCGTAGTTTATGATCTGTTTTTTCCTTTGAATCGTCACTTTTACATTGGGTGTACTACTCGATCATTATGTCCGAGTCTCCAGTTGAAGGAACATAAGTCTGTTGTCTTGTCTAGTGGTAAGGGTAAAGGTAATCGCAAGTTGTACCACTGGTTTCGTATGGTAAGTCTTAACAGTTACGTTGCTCTTCCCATTTTTGCCTGCGACTCATCTAATTTGCTCACTTCTGAAAATTTATTTATTAAGTCTTTTAGTCCTTCGTTGAATTCTATTAATAGAAAATTCTCTCACTTTTCTCACTGTCGGAAAGGAAGTAAAGAATGCCAACGGGCTGCTCGACGCTTATCTACTCCTTTGTTACCCCTTTGCTCACAATCGTCCTCGATCTTTCTGGCTACTGCATCAATCTATCCCTCCACCCCTTACCTTTCAACTCTATCACTTACTCGTACCCCTAACAGACATATTCCTTTCATTTTTCATTCTTCTTTGAATTTCACTTCTATTAGCCTTATTGATGTTCTGAAGCATGCTCTTGAGTCTAGTTGTACAACCCCTTTTCCGATCACTGTGATCTCTGGCTTTTGTCTTTCGGAGTTTTGAAAATTGGTGCGTCGTTTCTTTGGCTCTTCGACTGTATTTACTGATGTACTTTCAGTCTCGTTACTAAAAAACTGTCGTACATGGCTGCAGAAGGATTTCACTATGATTGTTAATAAGTTATCTTGCTACTGCTCCAAGTCATTGCGTCTAAAGAATTCTCTCATTCAGTTGTTGAGTAATCCTGCCTCTCGGAGGGTGTTCGTAGGATGGGATCTCGATAGCTTCATTCCCGCTTATGATGCGGTTCATTCCAATGTCTTGTAGAAAGTCTCGTTAGACTCTTAAGTTGATTCTTTCGCATGCTGCCAGGAAGAAGTTTTGACTTTGGGCAAGTCTTCAAGCCCGGCATTGGCATGTCTGATGTGCATGCACAATGAGCACACATTTTTTAGGAGTTCAGGTAATGATTCAAAAATGTTGAAGGGATGTAGGCTAGTGGATGTTGTTTCCTTGTTTATTAAACGTAGTAAAATTGCGGAGGAAGTTCAGTCTATGGAGAAAATTGATGATTACGAATCCGGGTGCTATGACTCTACTTAGGTTGTCGTATCCTTCTGGGTAAGGAACCTGTGAGGGGCTACTACCAAACCCTACATAAAAATCAGAAGTGTCTTTTTAATGGTGAAGGGCTAGTTTTTCATAACTTGCAAGATTACCATTCGTTCTCAAGTAAAGAGCAGAAATTTACGGTGATTTCTTTGTTTTTGCACCGTGCGTATACTATGGGCACATTCCCAGTATCTGAAGCCTTGTTTTTATTCAATTTGAAAATAAAACTACAGTATCGACACTTTCCAGACTTTTATTTCGATAAAACGCTCGTTCAGTTTAATAACCGGATGGGGGGGAGTTGAGGCTCATGGGTACAATGCTTTACGAATTGGCTTTCCTGGTGACCATTGTTAGACCTCTCTTTTTTCGAGCCCGTCTCTTTGACCAATCTGACCTACTGTTCAGCAGATGCCTTTCGATTCAGGGCTAGTACAGACCTTTTGTGTTGGGTTATTAGTATAACTAGGCGCATCCTTTCTCTATAGGTATACCAACGCGACCCATGAGGAGAGCCGGCTTGCTGGCTGCCGACCGAAACAGCTGTCGGGACTTGCCAGTGTGCTTCATGTTGGCGTAACGCCGCAAGGTCAATCGTTATTCCTAGTTATGCGTGACGCCTTGCCAGTGTGCTTCATGTTATGGCGTAACGCCACAAGGTCGATCGTCATTCCTAGTTATGTGTGACGTCGCAGGTTGATTGTCATTTCTTTTTGTGCTTATTATAATATCATATAAGCTGATGCGTTTGGGGTTACACTACTTTTGTCTCTTCTACGTCTTTTTCTTCTCCCTCCTCCTTCTACGTCTCTCTCGCTTTTTTTTTTTTTTTTTTGGCTTTAAATGTTTTTTACACTCGGCTATGTTATATGCATGAAGTTATTTGTACTTCTCAATGTTTCTCAACCGTTGTATCATAAATGATGCGATGATATACGTCGTTTTAATTGTAAAAACAATAATGGTGAAATTTCCAAATAAGAAAGGAGACTCTTGTCATTAGTGATGATGACGTTTTTCGTACAACCGGATTGTTTTAACCAATGAAATTATTGCAAAAAAAAATAAAATTATATATATTTTTTTACGCTGTAGACAAACTTCAACATATCTTTATGGGATAGAGTAAAATTTTGAGGGGATTTTCTTTTGCATTGGCATACCCCGTGGTAAACCACCAACATATTTCCCTGATTATAAAATATACGACTTATATACTCTGCAACGTTTTAAAGTTGAGAAATATCCGGTATTCTGACGGAGGAAACATTCATTGGACCAAGGAAAAATCGCAAATGAACTGCAAATTGTTATGTTGGTTTATGTAGTGGATGTGTTTCCACATCCATGAACGTTGAAGATAATGTCACGGGCAAAATTAGAAAATGAACGTTTTATGACATTTTTATACTAATATTTTTTCATAAAATATTTGAACAGAGTTTTGACCAACCTTGGGTGAATCTGAAGGCAGTAATTTTTTAAGGAAAATTTTTATTTTCTCTGTTTATTTTTTATTTTTATTTTCAGGAAAACAAATGTTTTTGTTTCTAATCTGACTGTAAGTGAGAAATGTGAAGCAATCAAGTGTTTGTCAATCATTGTTTTTCATGACATTTATTACGTAGCACTTTCTATGATATATCTAACCGGGTTATGAGCCATTGTTGAAGAATCTGAAGGCAATTATGTTTTTAGTTTAGTATGATTTTCTGCCTTTTTTTTTTTTTTTTTTGCTATTTTATATAAAAAATATAGTTTATTTTTTATGTTATTCCACATAAAAGATCGGGAGCAATCGCGTGTTTGCCAGCCATTCCCATTTGAGGGTCCTCATTTTACCTAGCACTTTCTAATATGTATCTATCCGTACGCACGACCTGTCATTGATGAATTTAAAAACAATCGTGTTTAAGCAAGAAAAACTTCCAATTATATTTTTTATGTGATATGGAGTAATTAAATGTCTGCGAGCCCCTCACATTTTAAGGCAGTCTCATGCTAGCACTTTCCATAATGTATCTGGTTGTACTTATGACCTGTCATTTATGAATTTAAAAACAATGTCATGCATAGTTTAATATGTCATTTTTCTTCCGTTTTTTTTTACAATAAAAAATATTGACTATTTTTTATGTGACTCGCTCTGAGAGGCAGAAAGTAATAAGTGATCTACCATCTCGTTTCATTTTAGAGCATTCTCACACGACACTAACCCCTCTCATTTTATGAAAGTCT